TATTACAACTGGACGGCCAAAAGACTAAATTCATTCACTAATTTGCACAGAATATTTGAACATTACTACCTGCATTGTTTTGTGACATTGGTAATATCAGATGAGTCGATTGTCTCCATCTACTAAAAAAATGTTATGTATTTAAAATCAATTTGTTCGTCTTTTGTGAAGTAGTTTTTCGTGATAAAACAATAGTTGCTTGAAGCATGTTCCTTTGGCCCACATTCATACGCTTGTATTCACCAATGTTGCTGGAGAGATTTCAATACGACCAAAATATCGATTTAAAAAAAAGTATTAGCACTTTCTTAAACCAACATAACCTTTGGTTATGGAACCGCGTTATAACTCAATAGGTACTTATAAAATGGTAATGTTATCTAATACTATAAATCACGAATTACATAACATAAACACGGTTGAATGATTTAACATCATTACACGCAATACCTCATCAAAACTAAACTTGTTGAAATTCATAAAACGCATTTCTAAGTAGCTTTTACATTTTTTCTGACAGAACTTATCGCCACATATCGGGCCATATATGTTAGTCAGACTGTATCTTAGTTTCTTAGTTCGTCTATGGAAATCTTATAGCTGCGGAATGACATCCACTTGTAAATTCTCTAACGACTCTTCAATGTTCATAAAGCGTCGTGTTCCCGTAACGTAGTAACCTTTCTAGAATACTTAAATAAAATATGTAGATGAAAAGTAGATATTAATTCAAATTAATTTACATTAAAACTAAAACTTTGAATTGTTACACGATAAGATCAAGTATTACGTCTTAAGTTTACAAAGATTAAATTGTACGGTAAATAGATTGATTTGATTCCGACAATTCAATCTAAAAAGGCATTATTTTTAATGGATTTTAGCCGAGTAACACTTAACTTGTAACTAGCATTTAGTTGCGGTTAACGTCGCAGATCTACCAACACAATTACGGTAACCGAGAGTAACTATAGCAGTTACGTAAGATTGTCGTAGTGGCCCTTAGTTACGAAATGCTTCTAACATTTGGTCTTATTAAGTTTCGTCTATTCGGACCTTTGTAGGCGTACTATCGTTATGGCCCGCTTTCACTTTACGCTTTCTCTATATAATTAAAAATGATCACAGTTTGCGCAACAGGTCGTTATTTAAATTTAACATAATGTTAAGTACTTAATAAAAAAACAACGTAGCGATTTTCTTCTTTTATCCATAGAATATCGTTAATGGAGCCTACATATTTGAAACTGTTAGGAAGTAAATCCGGACACTAACCTTACTAAAATGTCGACGTTTGTGCCCCTCAAGTTCAGTCTGACACTAGACTTTGTAACGAATCACGCCAAAGGATTGTAATTAATAAATGTCTATAAAACATACGTATGTCTCTTATAAACGGCTTATTTGTTTTTATGACTATTTTGTTTTTGTATCGAATAAAATAGTACTTGATTCTATAGCTTAAACAATAGAACGCGATAAGTGACGAGCCTCATAGTTGCAGCTATATTCTTTACGTTCGTCCCAGATACGCAACCTTGATAAAGTACACTGCTATTTATAATGCGAGGATTCCCGCGATCCGACAAAGTGTGCTGGATGTAACTAATAAACACCACAGCATACCAGATCTTTACTATTTATGTTTCTGTTAACTCGTTTTTGTAAACGCAAAACAAGTAGTACAAAGTATATAGCTTTACATCTAAAATTTAAAAAAAAACTATCTTTTGTTTAATTATGAAGACTGAACGATACTTAAGCTATTATTTGTATCTTAAAGAATAATTCCGTTTTTGAATAAATTGAACCTTTACGTTATGAGGTCCCATTATGTCAAGTTCTGGACGTGAGAAACCCATAAAACTGAAATGACTATAAAGTGCGTGAAAAAGGGAATTACCTATTTGAAAAACAAATTTGTCGTATAATAAGTCATGTAAATAAGTTATTAAACAGATTGTTCAATTCAAACTGGGCCCAATATGTGCCTACATCATCTGGCATGCTAATTATACTTTGCTCGTCTCAACAAGAACTGCCTGTGATATAACGAAAACAAAAGAAATAACAAAAAACTCATTTTCTCTGCTATTTTGTACAGTTTACGTTTCGACAAACTTGTTATTCTCGGGGCTTATTCAATGATAATATTTATTTACTTCAACATATTTATACTTATTACAATTCCTGGCTAAATTTATGGATGCACAAATGACTTAATACCAACGATTTTGTTACGCTAAACATCTAGTAAAAGCAGTGACTCTCTGTTCGCTTTCTTTTCTGTTTCATTGTCAAAAAAAAACTAAACTAAAACTATTACATTTGTAATATATAGCCTGACCAAAAATATAAAAACCTGTCCTGGTGGTGCATCAATCGCGTTCTTTATTAAGTCACTGTCTCATAAGCGTTAAAAAATTAGTTCCATGTTTTTCCACAATATGACGACATTTCTATACTCCTCAATAATATGTGTCAATGCAACTGACACGGCAATTGAAACACGCACTAACATCTATAATTATACATTGAATAAAATTGGAGTGTCTATATGTAACATCAGTAATGGCAGATTATGTGTGCGGATGTATTATAAGCAACTCTTTTTAAAGTCCGCTCTGACGGACAATCGCTAGTTTTCAATAAGAATGCTATCACAGGATCGGTGTTATCAATGAAATAAACATTTCCACTACGCACAAACAAGACGGTTGTGTAAACAATGCGCGTGGCGTGTGCCGATACGTTACGTTGAATGTAATTATGCCCACAGATAGTGTGACAAGGTCGTTGTGTAGGCTCGCGCCGGTAAGGCTTCAAATGTAACTAGGCCACCAAAACTCCTATCAACCGATACCAACGTTTAACATGAAAACGTGATGATTATTCAGATTGTTTGGTTTATTATGTCCATTCTTTGCGCTTAATTGACTTTGAAATTTGAAATTACGTTATGTTTACTTTACTTTCATATATTTTAATTATTTGTTCAAACACACAAACGTTTTATAAATGATTTTAATATGATTATTATAATACCGTATCATGCTATTAGTTTTTTTTTTAAATAGAGCAACGGTAAAAGATTATTTTACCGTACAAATCTGTTTTATCTTGTCAACAACGTCATATAAATCTGATTTAATTTGATAGAATATCGTCACAGCAATTATTTTTCTTCGCTTAGACCTAGTATAAGACATCTTTAGTCAAAACAATGGTATGAATTTAAATATACATGGAAGCGAAGAGAAGGTCGCTAAGCGGAGATTCACGTGTTGTCTGAAGTGTTCCAAGCTCTTCGTTGACCTAAAAAGCTGAAAGTTTTCTCTTCAGTTTACATACAACTGTATATGCGAATGTGAATGCAACTCTGTTTAAATACTACATGTTGTAAACAAAGCAATTGTTTCAAGTTAAATCTAAAATGATTCTAAACTTTCGCTAACGTTGCGCCATAGCACATGAAGAAGTATATTTCTTTATCAATTAATTTCGGTAATCTACGATTGACTAGCGAATCAATACATAAAGGAATAACCGCTGGATTCTAAGATCAAAAATTTTGTTTAAAACATATCGTCATCCCTCTCATTATGCATGACAAAAAATAAATAACAATATGTTTTAAACACGGGTTTGTTCCAGAAACCAACGGTATGTGCCATGAAGTCATTACTCAATGACTTTTCCGTTTTGAAATGTGATATACTATATCTTAATTTTTGATTTCGGCTTACTTCCATTGAATCTTTACTTGAAATGCATTAAACTATTTGTATATTTATAGAGAACGATATCTTTGTCAACAATTCTTAATTGGCAAAACAATAAGAACAAAACAGGTATAGCACAATTATCACGGTCAAACACAATGTCATATGACGCGCACGATATAAACATAGTAATGTATTTATGTACAAGTATGTACATATAAATATATGTCCGTTGAACACTCGTATCTTGTATGTCACAACAACTTCATATAATGAGATAATGCATAGGTCATTAAGCCTCAGTACCGATGCCATTTAAAATGCTCATAAATCACCAATTAATAATACTAGCATGATAGTAGTACACACACTTCTGAAGAAAGAGATAGTAGATACGTACACTGATGAAGAAATTTATAGTATTCAAACAGTTATTCTAAGCAGAAAAGTTGCGTTCAGATCAATCTTTATAAATCTGCAAATTAGAGTTAAGATATTCAAGTCATCAAATCGGGCTCTAGGTTCTATTTCATATTTTGAGTCCACAGATTGCGAAGCGAGTATGGAACAAGAATTTGAGTATTGAGTCTGCCCTTATTTCTTTGATCATATATGATTTCTAGTCTTCCTCGTACCCCGAGAGAAATGTAAATCCAAATGCGGTTTCTAAGCTTAACCCGTAATAAAGAAACCCAATTCAACCTAGGTATTTCATTTTTTATAGTCAAAACAATTTTGTATAGTAACATTTAATACTAATGAAAAATAACATATCGATCAACAACCTTTGTAGAACACACACTTTTGTATCATAAATTATGCCTAGAACTTTCCAAAAAAAAACCATAGCCAATAAACGTCCATGTCAGCAAGTAAAATGTGTAAATATAATATCTCATTTCATGAAGAAATGAAAATATAGTCATTCAAACATGCGACAAATTGCTTACTTTGCTTCCGTAAGAAAAAACTGATTTGTTGTTATTGTCGTCTCTCTTGTACTCTTGCATCTCTGTTTAACACTTTAGGCGCGAGAATTAAGTAAATATTATGGGAGGGGTTTTGCGGCAAAACAAAGGCAAAATCGAACACTTATGGTATCAGTGCTGCTATCTATATTCTCAACTTGTAAAATATGAACTGTTATTTATGCAATGAACGTTTGCAGCAACGATTCCTCCTTTTTACGATAGATGGCGCAATTTTTTTTTTGGTTTCTACTAATATTTTGTCTTTGTTCAAAATGTGTGTATTGACATCTCAATTTTATTTTTTCAGGTGTTAGTGGAATATGATGGTGTCGATTGGCAACGTCGCGAGTGGGTGGCAGTTCATTCGCGAAGAACTTTCCGAGTGTTTTTAGTGGAAAGAACTTTAGTATGGGCCCCTAAAAAATATGAAAACGAAGAAGTGAAATGGCCCGCTCTGGTAAGTAACATTTTAAATTCATTGAACGTAGATTATGTGACATACTTTTATCATACTAATATTCAATATATACAATTTATAAAATGACAAGTGAATTTTAAAGTTTGTGAATTTTAAGGGTTATGCCCTCTTGTGAGTGCCGTAGATATCAAGTGAAACGGATTCTAATTACGTGGGCGTTCGGTAGATGGCGCTCGGAACCTAAAACTTGCGTTCTCCGACCTAAGTTTGTCCGTCTTACGATAATTAGTTAACGATTCATTTGATATTCATATAATTTTAATAAATTAAAAAGTAATAAAATTATCTAAATTATAATATTACTTTGTTTGTAATTTTTTTACTAGACTGATTTTCGGTAGTTCATAGTTCTTCGTTATGTAAGGTCCCTCCATAGGGCTACACATGTCAAAATTGTCAAAATAATCATTTTAGAACGGACAAAGTATAGATTGTTCGTTTTTCAGTTACAGGCAAATATAATACAATATACACATTTAATTTAAGTAAATACAAGGCTTTGAAGTTTAAGAGACAATTTTGAATTATTTGATAAATTGTGATAAAATGTACGCCGAGCTATTTATCATTCTAAAAATCCTTTCCAGAGTTAGTTTAACTATCCCTTTAGAATTATTAATTAATGACTATCCTAATCCATCTCAACTAGCGAAGTTTGAATAATCCCTTAAGTTAATTCAACCCTTGAGCTAATATTACGAGTACCTTTGAGAATGTATCACAGACATTGGTGTTGTGCAAAATATTAGTATTTCTGTTTTCAGGATAATCAAAATTACTGTTGTACTGAACGGGTAGCCAAGGTTGTAGCTACTTAAAATGAGAATCTACCACAGGCTGGATTATCTATGGAAATATGTAAAAAGCATTATGGGCAGAATTTGCAATTTTCATGCCTTTGTAACGTTTTCTAAATTGTATTCCGTCTTTCGTAGTTACAATAGAATTTTTGTGAGCGCGTTCCCGGTTCTTTGATACCTTTCAAAAAAATCTGTGTCTGTAAAACTGTTTCGAATGTTAGCCAAATTAATGTAGAATTGTCTTAGCAATCTATATCTAACTGTATGAAAAATGTTTATAAAACTGTTACGTCACAGAGTACTTAAGCATACAGCATCGCAATTCTTGTTCTTGGTTTTGGTATAAATGGTCAATTATTTTGCCTTTTGATCTTATCATAAGTGATTATATTTAAATAAATTTAAAACTAATCATTTTCATTCTTAGTTTTCTTTGTATAAAAAAACTGAGAAATCTTGAAAACAAATTAACAGGATCGTTGTGAATATATGCATTATCATAGGAAAAATACCAAAGGCACCCTGACATCGTTCCAAGCCCGTATAACTTATATGATTGTATAAACAAATGCTGTTTTGACTTTGAAATAGACGAATGACGCGAGCTAACATCGAGGTTCTAAAGTATTTACATCACTCTACTACTTGACAAAGAATTTGGTACGTTACAGATATTTTCGGATTAATAAATTGTTACTCTTGAATTTTAGTATTACTAAACAATAAGCTATTATAAAAAAACAGAAGGCTGTTTAAAAACTTTACTATTTTTACGAAAAATGTCAAGTTGCCAGTAATAAAAATTAATTTTAAAATAATTTCCTTAGTTATTTGTTAATTCACATAGGAAATCTCTTAGTGTGCAATTATCATACTAAATCTACACTAAGGCTATAATATAAATATTTCGTTGCCATAAGTAAAGTTGACTCGAATATCGCAACCTTTTATAACTCCATGTAAATAAATTTATAAGGATTTGTTGATTTGCATTTAGAGCATGAGACACGTACCGTAGTGATGAAATGATTTACCTCATTCACGTGTCGCGGCGACCTCTGCTCGATACGAATTTAAACGAGTCACGTTTGACTTTCTTTACATAAGATCATACCTTGCTTTTGTTTGTAGGCGTTCTTTATTAATTCAAGCTTTTATAGTAGTATCCGATGCCGTTGGAGCCAATACTGTCCTAAATGAATATGGAACTCTGTATAAAATTATTCAATCCCAAAAAGACTACCTTAGTAAAAATACTTTTAAATTTACGTCCTATTTAGGACTTGGCTTAGCATAAAACATTAGGGCTAATTATATATTTTTAAAAGGCTGTCCGTAATAATTAATTTACTATTTTAATAATTTTAGAAACTAGATTCGAATGATTGAAAATCAAATAATAACGGTTTATCTGAAATGTTTTTATTTTATACTTCCTGTCGCTAGAGGGCACTAGTTGGATCATTTTAAATTGCATGTTTTTATTCACACATAAGTTCTGCTAATGATATATATTAACTTTGTCTTCATTTGATTGTTCAAATTGAGTAGTCATTTAATATCCTCGTTCAAACGCTTATACCAATTATAAATTGTTTATTCATGAGACTGTGAATTAATAAATGTACAATTATTTGTTAAAGTAAAATTACTTTTAACCGAACGATGTAATCAACATTGTAAGTATCGTACATTGTAAAGTAAACATTTAAGATACCAGAATTATATAATCCTTTTGTAGAATGTTGTGATTCATTTATGTTTACATATTCCTTAGTTCTTGGAATAAGTGATGTTGAACGTTCGTGCGTGTTTGTGTGCGTGTCTCAGTGTAAATGTAAGGTGACTTTAGGTGTTATTCAACTTATACGACGCTCTGCATACTGATGCTTTTGTGATGGTTGTCTGTTCACTTACATTGTAAATGCCCGACCAATATCTTGCCAATAATACTGTTGATCGTCGCAAATGTATTTCTCAAGTATGCTTTAGTTTTATCAAATAAGTATTTAGTTTGATTGCAACATCGTTAAGGGGAAGATAAAACCATTCCGCTCTAAGCATATACTACACCTCATCAGCTTATTAAACTAACAATGCGTAATATAACGGAAATCATTATTTTAGTATTTTTTTAATAAATGTTTTCCTATAATACACTAATTAATAATAAATTTATTTATTTCAATAACCTTGGCAAAAAAACTGCTGAGATACGATGAGATTTAATTTCTTGGAAAAAGTAATTTCATCAGAGTTCCAAGAGAATTTAACATGAACGCATTACGTATTCAAGAAACTTATTATAATAATGCTACAAGTAGAGAGCCGTTGTAATTAAACGAATAATTCTCACGCGTCACGGAAAGATTTGCGTCTGTTTGCGGATAACAATATCTATCGTAGTGTTATTTGGACTTTGTTAAACTATCTTAATATTTGAGAGTAATATGTAGCACCTTTTATTTTGAGTTTTTGGTGTGAACTAATCTTTACTGAAAGATGCCAATATTTAAGAAAATTTGACAAGAAAAGTGGCGAAAAAAAATCACGGCTGGTTTCACTCCACACCAAGAAATCAATATCCCAATAAATAAAGCCCGAATCAATATAATGCGAAGCTGAAGAGTAGCTTTTATCTTTAATTAAACTTACGTAAATATAAATTGATGACAGCAATTTACGTCGAATACTATCTTTTGTAAGATATCTGCGTAATTTATAAAAGTTTATACAACAGATGACTGAATAAAAATAAGGTCAAGGGAGAGTAATCACTCTTGTAACGAGAAAGGATGTGGTAAGGTCGTTAAAACCATTACAGATGTCACGATAATCTTTTATTATGAATTGTTGATGCCTCAGTAAGGCAACGGTAATGGTATCTTGTTGACGACATTTTTTTTTATAATTTAAACAATGCCAAATAAAATGTGAACATCAATGACCGAATAAGGTGACGAATGAATCGTTTTATTTATTAGCACTATTCGAATTACACATTCATTTTAGAAATATTATTTGTTAACATATTTGAGGTAATATATTTTAGGTAAATTGTTTTAGGAAATAGTAAAATTAAATTACGCTACCTGTGATGTAATTGTATTTTAGGTTAAATAGATATTGAATTTTTCATATCGTAGAAAAATATTTAAATAATTTAAGATATATTTTGTGTTAAGTATAACTAATGTTGTCATATTTATTTTCCAGACGTTCACTCCGCTATCCGCCGTGGACGTGACTCTCCAAGCTGACTGTCAGCCTGTCGAGTTCTTGCACGACCGCTCGCTGCAATTCCTGGACTATGCCAATCTTCAACCATTCCAGGTGATTACATTGTATTGGTTTTGTTATCGCTATTCGATAATAGATGGCGCTACTAAACACTTCAGAAGATTTGGTTAAGCACTATAGTCTATATTTTGATGATTTATGTTTTAAGTTTTTAATATTATCTGAGTACAGTTGTTTTATACAATACGTAACTGTTGTAAAACATTGTACACAACACTGGGAACGGGAAAAGTTGCAATGTAGCTCATGTTTCATTCACACATGCGGCTCTTAAAGTCTAGTCTTAATTTGTACTATGAGTCACGATCAAAGTAATTATTATTTCCTCTCTTGAGATTTAACCGACGCTCTTGAAATGACTAATATAAATCGGTAAGCTCAAATAACTTTACTTATAAACTTACTAAATGTCGCCCGCGGAATTAAAAAAAAAAAAACATTATTAGTAGCCTATGTCTTCTTACCGGCTATATTCTGCTATGCTATATTTATGCAAAATTCCATCGAGATCCATCCAGCCGTTTCGAAGATACCTTCTAACAAACATACAGCCAAACATTCGCATTATTAGTAAGATGTATTTACGCTTTGTACGCTTACCTACATAAGTATGGGTTTTCTCAGCTGAAATATTAATACAACATATTGTTTTATTATGTTGTTATTTATTACGGTTTTATGAAAATTCCACTTTTGTAATTTATACAGATATTGTGAGTCGGCATTGATTGTTATGTGAACGAGGAAATTAACGTGAGAACGCAATGCAGTTTTTACTTTTTTACGTTAAATCTTGTGTTCGAATTCCTTAACATACTACTCATTTATGAATATAAACATAACAGTAATTCATTTTTTATTATTCTTTTATTATCATCATGTGTATGAAATTAAGATTTTATTTTGTATAGATTTCTTTTATTATGTTGGCAAGTCTTACTTCACCCTCCATGCTGACGATATTGCGGGTGCCAACAATACGCGTCTATTTATACATAACATGTTATTAGACTATCAGTCTTTATTGTAATCCAGTACCGATCGTAGTCGTTTTTCATCACTTCCACACACTTATTGATTTCTATGAATGAACGCAAAGTAATAAAACTCCATTAAAATTCTACGCATCCGCACATGTACATACAAGCACGCACACATCGACGCACTTTATCGTTTGCATATTTTATTAGATCCGACCGTGACTAAGTTACGTTTTATGTTGGCGGGGATTTATGTCGCAAGATTAAACTCGCCTCGTAAAATTGTTTACAAACACACAAACGGGACAATTGTTAATGTCTTTCAGATAAAATTTGTACATTCATCTTGATAATCAATTTATTTAATCCATTTAAAGCATTTTATCTTTTTGCAATTAGACATTTTTTATACATATATGTGAAATGTGACGACATTTTAATCAGTCTGTAATAATTAATTAGCGAATATATTTAGCATGAATATGTAAACAACATACGATAAGATAATGTAAAAATTTTGTAGCAATCTTTTCTTCATAAATACATTGTATGTCTTTTAGACAAATGTTTTAAAATTCTCAAATCACTTGCAAGACAAATTAATCATTTTTTTGACATAACAAATATCTTCATATTCATAAAATACTTTAATTCATCCCTTGTAGGTTTATAGTAACTTAAAAAAGTAAAGTCGCTGCCTATCTCTGAAGTGCAATCCTAAAACAACATTGTAGAGTTATGTTATGTTAAACTTAACGCTATTAGAATGCTATTCCAGTAAGTCTTTCAACGTTATTTGCGCAGGTGTTGACGAGTGCGAAGCGTAATAACAAAGTAACAAAACGCATAATCGACCTAATTCTGGGTGCGACGTACGGTACTCTGTTTATCTAAAGTTGCCCGGGCGAAGTGGGTAGATCAAGGACGATGTCTGCCAAACAAGGGGGAGGGTTTCCCCGGGAGACGGGTAGCCCGGGGCGCGCGTGGTTTGAGGCTGATCTAGCGAGGGAGCTATGTTTTGATGTCCCCCACCCCAGGACTACCGCCTGTCGCCCGCTGCCCCCCTGCCTGGTACCCGCTATATTGATTTTCCGCGCCCACGCCGCCCCATCCCCCCTATACTATATACATATTCAAGAGGCAGGTGCCTGCTGTAGTGTCAAGTTATTTTCGGTTATCCTGGCCACATCCCAGATACCGCCATGATTGATGACTATTTGACTTTTTATTTTTAATAACTTTCCTTTTACGATTGTTATTGAATTAATAAGTTTGCGGTGTGATATTTTTAGATGTTGTAAAGAAGATTTTCTTTGTCTGTGTTTTATCGGATACAATATGATTTTTGATATGTATACTTGTTCTGTACTGCGATTAGGTATAAAATAGCGATCATTCAACATTCTTTGTCCTTATTCCTTATATCAAGAAATATTTTCAATATAAAAGTTAATAGAATTTCTGATAAATGCTTATTAGCGAGTCTTTACTGTTGACGACAATGGAATTTGTAAATCAATTCTGAACAAATGAAAATAATCTCTTGAAATATGTTCAGATTTAATCAAAATTGAAATCTTTTACTTTGTTGTTTCTTTACTGTTGAATATCCTTGAGTAAAAAGAATATGACTTTCATTAAATTATTCTTTGAACATAAAGAAAATTAACAACCCGTGACTGTAACTGTATTTTGTTAATTTGTATAATTCAAAAATAAAATTCTTGAAATAATATGAAGCTCTAATAGAAAACAATACTAAATTAATTTTAAATGCGTATCATTTAAAAATAAAGTTAATTATTCGAAGGGCATGAAAAGTTTTGAATCGAGTTTCCGAAGTTTGCCGTCATCGTACGCAACTCGACTGTTACGTTACCGCAAAATTTAAACGAGTTAAGTTTGTTTGAGCCGACTTGCTCCACTGTCCGTTGTACCCCTTTGGGGTGGCTGGGGGTGGGAGCGTGACATTGATAAAGGCATGGGTTAGACACGAGAATCGAGACAATGTTCAATCGAGCCCCTTTTATTATGTAAGCCAATGATGCTTTATATTTTGTATGTTCTTTGTGTAGAATATATTTGATCTTGTATATATCTTATCAATCATATTAGATATAAATTAACTTTTATATTAAAGATAGATTTATGTAGAATTTAACCGACACTCTATTTATGTAATTACTGTATTTTACTTTTTCATAAAGGTGATCCGGTTTTGTGTTATTGTGGTATTATTATGGAGTCATTGTGTCTAAAAGTGACTCATCGTTTTAATTTACTCGTATCTAGTTTTAACCTCTCGACCGCTACACCAACCGCAAACCCGTTCACTAATTAAGATTATAATATGTATGCTAATAAACATGAATTTAGATGAAAATTAAAGCTATTAAGCTAGATATTTTAATTCTAATTTATGTCCATTTATTTTATCTTTAAATATTTAAATCAATAAACGTATTCTGGGTATGAATATTGATTAAGACTAAGAAAATTTTATTACTCACACTGAGCGCATTAAAACTTATGTAAATTAACTTTTTTTATTTTCTGTGCATTGATATGTTTTGTGATAGTTTAAAATTTATAACTATTTGTTCGTATTTTATATCTCGGAAAATGAAAAACATAAAAGCGAAATGTAATTTTACCAAGAGTGCTACAAAACCCTGCATGTGCTGTTACATAAATAATTGTTTGTTTATTTTGTTACGAGTAAATATACATATTTGCACATACTGAATGAGGTGTGCGATGCAATTCCAAAGTCCAAATTACGTCAGATTGAAATCAAAATGCCACAGTGCAAATAAAACATGAACGGTTTATTTTTATAATGCCTAAATGTATCCACACTTTACTATTTCTTGTATGGATTCGGAAATTTTATAAAGAATAATGAGACATATTTACACTGCGCTACAATTTATGTTTCCACTTTACGTTTTCGCTAGTCGTTTATTAGAAGACGTGAGCTTGCATCCGTCTCGTATAGCGTGATGGATGCTCTCAGAGCATTGTCTAGAGAGAGTAGGTACACTAGTTCTCTATCTCTGTACGAAGCGAGTGCCTATTACGAGGATTTATTGCTACAAAAAACCGAGTTGAATGTAATATTATAGTACTGTAGATTAATATGTAGACGAAATAATAATTACGATTATTAAACAAATCTGGACATAATAAAATTGTGTCGTATTAATTAATTTTGTAAAGTGTTTTACAAAGAATTCTCTGATTTCATTTTGATTAATATTTTATGGTAAAATTATTATTGCCGATAGTCAACAAGGATCTTAGAGAAATAATTCCGATGTCTTAATTGAATTTCCTGTTACGAGAATCAAACTGTAATAGAGGAAAAACCAAGAGCGATCTCATAATCGTTATTATGATATAAAATGTAGACAAGTATAGTATACCTATTATTCTTCTTTTATTAGTTCACTACGTTTTAATTTTAACGGTCTTAAAATAAAACTTTGAACTGCTTACATAGGTGTTTTATTATAAAAGCGAATGTTTGCTGCTGATCGTTTTTATAGTTTAATAAAAGAAAGTTTGCTCAGCTGAAACACGATCTGTGTCACAAATGTGCTAGAGTCGATGTTTGTAGCTTTGGTTGGCTTAGTTTTGTGTCGACACAGTATTAATTGTGTTGTCTTTCTTTGCAATTATGTTGAAATTGTATCCGATATATCCATCACGATGTGTACCAATAAATTATAAGAAATGTTGTATTTTACAGTTAGACTGTTGTTTCCATCTTATATTAAATATTTTAATATGAATTCTCAAGTATTTTGGTATATAATAACGGCGATGAGCAGGCTTTATACATACTCTGTCAATTATATAATATCGAGGAAAATGAGGTATTTTGGTATTAAATTTGATACGGGGAAATTAGAAGGCCTCCGAGAATCCCGTGTAACGTGAACCGGAAATTCCTTGCCGACTTTGATTAAAATGGACATTAATATTATTTAAGCAAATTCCTTGTCTACTTCGTGCTTGTTAAACGCGAAACATTTTATTATGTAACTGACCGTCCCTCTTAGGCTAATAGTCATCGTTCTTCTAAAGTGCTTACAGCCAACATTCCTTCAACTAAAGATGGCTATTGATTTTATCATCACATGCTAGTTATATTTAGTATTGCGGTTCAATAAGTCATATACGTCATCTGTCTATTTTTGTTAAAAGGTTAATCTTATAAAAGAAGCAGGTGCGCTGTTACTCAAAGGCTGGGTTGACATTATGTGTATCAGTTTGATACAAAAAAAATTGTGGTTCAAATCACGAAATGCAGCTGCAGTAATTGTATTATCAATCTTTGGTCGTTGAATAAATCTCTTTTAACGTAATAATGTAGATATACTTACTTAAAGGTAATATTAAACATCTTGGTTGATAATATTTAAAGATAACTTGAGGTAATTAACACACGATAATGGAGGAACTGCCTGAGCCTGTTTCTTGAATATTCAAGCGGTTACTATCTTGCAGTTACTCAACCTAAAACATTTCCTTATTCATAGTATACTGAAAGGCATAACATACTCTTATTATAGAGTACGAAATATTTAGTTTAAATGTAGATTATCTTATTCATTGTGACATTTTGTAAACTAAACGACTGTTTTTGTAGTATGAGATGTCACTACCTACCTTTTTCTTCTAAAGTCATTTGGATGTTTTGCTTTTTGGATAAGTTATTACTAACTAGCTGTCGCCCGCGACTCTGTCCGCTCGGAATTAAAAAAAATATAATAAGTAACCTATGTGTTCTTCCAGAATATGTTCTATATCTATGTCAAATTTCATCGCGATCTTTTGAGCTGTTCTGGAGATACCTTCAAATAAACATCTATCCATATTTCTAGATTGTGAGCGTGAGTCCAATGAGTAAAATTAAATTGTTTGATTTTCCTTATTAAAATGGTTGATAACAGTAGGGTATGATTAACAGTGTAGAAGTGATCAATATCGAAATTATAAGACAAAAAGGTCTATGTATATGTTAGTTGTGTTGGTTGGTATGTCCGTTATCAGTAGTTGCATCGGAGTGCGCTTCATCGAAGGGAGCGGCCAGGAAATTGAATGAGGGACCGGGGGCGAATGTGTGCCACGTCTAATAGCTTCCTGGTAGCTAGCTGCAACGACCTCTCTAGACAGCACAATCGAAACTACACAGATTGTTTATTCTGTTAAGCAATGCCGTAACGACACTCCCTTTGCGAGCAAGAACAGCATGTTACACATATTGTAAGCAAGAAAATTTTCAGTTTGTCAACAATCAAACATACCTAATTTATTTCAGACTTAAAGGACCTAAATATCTTAAAACATTTATACATATGAGAAATTTCTTTGCTTTACAAAAATACAGACCAAACATGAATAAATATAAAAAATAATACTATAGATAAAAAATACTTTAAGAGCGGAAACTATTTGAGTAATGAGGTCGTGAGACTGTCTTTGTGTTTCTTTTAAAGATCAAAAGGTTGAATTCTTCTTTAATGAAATTTGCGTAATCGTGTAGAAAAATGTCTACACGAGCGGAATAGCTTCTATAGTTGTATTACTTAAATAATATCTTTTGTAGAACGACAGCGCCCTTTGTTTGAAAGACACCCTTTGCGAACGTTTGTTGGCAGTTAAATTATCTGATCAGTGCCACTTTCATGACAAGCAGCGGCTCACGGCTGACTTACTTTGTAGTCTCTTTGTAAATACTAATTTAATTGTAAAGCTATTTGCTTTGTTGTTTATTTGATGATAATGGAATGGAAATTGGTTTGTTGTGTTTTAACTATGTCTGATATTTCAAAAAATAGTTCTTAGTAGACATAAAATTATTTAGAACGCTATGACAAGTTACCGTAAACATTAATTTTCATGAGCCTGTTAAAAGCAATTTATAATCATTAATGTAAACTTAAAGTTTATCCAAACTTAGCGATGATACAGGTAAGAGCTTCATGACGCGTTACATAACACAAAAAGATAGCTAAATCATCATGAATACAAACAACGTATCGAGCAAACGAATTGACCTTGAAAAACTATGGGTACAAGCCTTAGCCGCTTATGGCGAAGTTAATTATTTAATTATACTATTCAATAGTCGTTGGACATTCCCCGACCGTTTATTACGTGGTATCAGTTTTTGTAAGTTACTTCCTTGTAATTGTATTATTGTTATTCATTAAATTTTTATTCTATAAATAGTAACATCATTTAAATTAATTAAATAATAAAATACTAGTTGTTGTTATGATGAAATCTTTATTATTACTTTTTTGGAGGTTTAGATATATACTACAGCGATTTTCCATTAAATGTTTATAATATAGCAATTTCTAAGAAATATGACTTTTAATTAGTAGATAAAGCAACATTTTATAACATTTTTATCAGTAATTTTCTTACTAATTAATGTACGTAATCTATATAATAATTATTTAATGCATCGATTACATCCTTAAAAGGTTTATAGAAAAAGTTTTTAAGGAAATAATTTAAGCAACTTTCATATCTTTATCGTAGTCTCTGTTGAATCATACCGTTAAGTACTAAGCCCTTTAGTAATAGAGCCGGCTGGATGAAGTAAGCTTGAGTAGACGCAGATATAATAGTGGATGGGTGAGGGGAGAGGGGTGGTGGGAGCTGGTCGGGGAAGGGGAGTGGGAGGTGAGGGAGAGTCGGGTTCAACGCACCGGATACGTCTGTCGCCGTGCGCTCGTATGCACCGACACAGGTGTGCGTTTCCCGTACGCGTATGTACTGTAACATTGACATAAATATGGCTCGCGCTCGTGCTCTTAGCTTGCTGTTGCACGATAAAGAATACACTCGTTAGGGATTGCCTTTCAACTTTTCAGAGTAAGCAGAAATTGAAATTGCAAAACCCCTTTTGACTATTTTATAAGGATCGTTCAATTGGATTTTAAACCCCCGCTCAAATCATCTTTCACTGAATATCTTTCGTTGCTGTCTACGAAACGTTTTCAACTTTGAATAAAATTGGCTGTAATATAATTCTATCTCATATTGTTCTTAATAAGCTTTCTCTTTTGTTTTCTTCTGATAAGAAATTTCGATTAGAAATAGAATCCACAAAACAGCGTAAAATTACTCCATACGTTTGGCCACGTAATTGTCGGATTACTATGTAATAGTAATGATAAACACGCGTGTTTTACAGCTACTTGCCGGCGCGGCTCGGTTGAGCGCGTTGTGCAACAATTCTATAATGTGGGTCAAATTGTTTACAAGTCAACCGAGGTTGCGGCTCGACATATTATTATTTTAATTGCTCTATTTATGGTCATAACGTTCTCGATTATAATTCAGGAATTACATATGAGTTCCATTAGTAATGGCGATATGCAATCGCTTATCGCGACCGTAATTGGCATCTTAAGTGCACTCACCTTGTGCAAATTTATCCTTTTTTTTTGTGATGCAATTAACATTGTTATTTATTGAGAATTTTTAATCAACAACGGTACTTTAAATAACACGTGTTTTAAATAGATTATTACTTACGATCTTTAAAAAAAAATTAACTTATAAAATAAAACATTTTATTGTCGAAATAACATTTTTTTACCAATTCAGTAGGTATCTGTCTGTATTTCAGGAGACAAACCTATTTATATTACACATTTGACAAGGATGAAAAGGACACATGATCATGTTATGAAGCTGAGTAATTTGATATTATATTGCTACTCTGTGACATCTATAGGCAGATGGAATAGAAATACTTAAATAGTATAATCAAAACCTATTATGGCATCTAAATCGGATATATTAATTAAGAAAAATGATAAGGTATATTAATGGTTATCGACTTGTTTATCTTAAATTTACTTCAATTGACATTATTGGAATTTTACCGCTTCATTTAACGTTAAGTATTTTTTGACTTATTGATTTTGACATACTTGTAAATTTCTCACCAATTTTGGATTCTGATATTATCAGGTAAGTTGCCTTTTTCGAGTCAAAAATGCAATAAAGAGTATTTTAATTTGTTCAAATAAAAATAGTTGCTTTCAAAAATACATTATTTCACAAACTTTATAAAATATTATGTTGATAAATCTTACCTGATACAAGTGGGACATTGTACTTTAGTAAGATAAAAGCCTATATCTCTAAGTTTAGTTCTTTTGTGAATTGGCCTTTCTAACCACACAAAATGCTTGTCCAGGGAGCTAGATGTTTGTTCCCGAGAATATATACAGTCGTATGGCGGGTATTGCATTGTTGGTCAAGGTGTAGCCCAACACTTTTTTATTTGTGTAATGGTTATTAACACAATATATTTGTCTAGGATTGGGACGCTCGTCTGGCGGGTTCCGAGACGGGTGTCGGTGCAGACTTACTATCATCATTATCTGCGGAGTCAGCGGAGTGGCGGAGTGCACAGGATGGGCAGCGTATCCTGACCTCCACGCCTTCGGTTCTCGGCGGCTGCCGTGCTCAGGTGTACCGCGTCGCCGGCGCCACGCAGTGGTACACCGCGGTTATCGTTGGCGTCAATGAACATACCGGGGTAAGTTTCCTAAATGATCTATTTTATATGTTATCAGTGGCAAGAGAAATCATCTCTTGCCACTCTTTCGGGCCACTTCGTCGTCAATCATCGTCAGTCGGCACCGCAATCTAGATCTCGTGGTTTTGATTCCATCGTAATCGTGATACTTTAGAGAGATAGATGTTTTGTAATGATTGTAAAGTTAGTGAACATTTTTTAACTACCTGTCACCCCCCCAATTCTATGGTACTGTGGTTACATCACAACTTAGACGTAAATCAATATCGAAACTATCTATAATATAGGTCTACGTTACTTAAATCAAATCTTTTCTTTGTTATCTGTAGACAAATTTATTCATCTCGTTTATATTCATAAGCATTGCAATACAGGTGTAAACCTTTATAAGTTACAAACAAATATAAATATACAAATGAAAGTAATTCTTTGTACTGTATAGTGTATAAAGCGAAGTAATGTTAGTTTCGCCGGCCTCCAGACGTGCGTGTATAAAGTCAGACACAGTGAGCAGGCTTTATGTTCCACAAACAATGGGAAACGTTTCGCTGTAATATTCCCCCGGTGTTTGCATTAACCAACCCCTTCCAGCCTTCGCCCCGCAACCCGCTACCCCTACGTCACACCGCTGTATACCTAAAGTTGTGATTTTCAAAGCAACGTGAGCTTGTCGGTATAACCTATTTATCAACGCTTATCATTGTTATGTTATCATCCCCACGAGTTCTGACTACCATTGTCGTTTCCATCGTAATATAAAAATTTCATAAAAACGGTATACTTATTTAATGAGAAATATTTCACCGATCAAAAGGAGAAAAAGAAAAGTAATTGTGAACTCTAGACTTAATTTCATTAACTTCAGTAAGTTTTTTTTTTTTATCGAAAGTAATAATTTGCAATGTTTAACTGGTGGGACTTTTCTATTCTGTTAATTTCGGAATAAGTAATTTTTCCGAAGTAAAAAAATATTTGGAATTTCTTAATTAAATAAGTTTTGAAGGGATTAGAAAGTGACAAAGAACTTCCAAACTTCATCGCAGTTTAATAACTTGATAATAGATGTCGCTGTGTGGTATACTTTAAATTTTTATTTCAATCGAAAGAGAAGACCTCGGTTGGATATAAAATATTATAGCTGGCAATAATGCAACTTAATCATCAACGTATTAAGAACACCGATTGTATAATATTTATTCGTAAATCTTCAAACTGAATATCAAATTTAAACATGCCAATAAAGACGACTAACATTTAAAAATTTCTATCAAGTTAGTCTTTTTTATATTTTGTCATAGCTTATAAGAGAAAAACACAACTTATGTAATACAGGTGAAATTTAAATTTAAAACCCTGTGTACTCTTCTTTACAAAATTAATTGAGAACCCTTTGATCTTTATGTAATTTAATCGCCTTCCGTAAAACCTATTTAGCTTAAAAACAATGTATCCGCACATAAATTTAGTGTATAGCCATTCTAAAACATAAATCTTTACTAGGAACTGTACCTGTGTGTGCTATTTGGTACAAGATGTAAACGGGCACGCACTCGTAGTCAAGTGACCATATATTCTCGCATAAAGCCGAGCTATTAGAGTGGGCGAGACCACCACATATATGGTGCAATTGATTGACTCATTATTTCCTTACAAGTAAAGGTACAACAAACAAGCGTTTTCGTAACGTGATTTGTGTTTGTAGGTATTTTACTAGGACGTATGTACACGTGTAGGTAATTATAAATTGTATTTTTTTATTGTTCAGTGTAGGACGGATTAATGTGTCTTTAAATTGAATCGATCACTTTTATGAGTGGTAATTCGTCTGTTAATATTATAGAAAGGAAAGATTTGTTTGTTCGTTGCATTGGCTCAGAAACTACTGAATCGATTTAAAAAAAAATTTACTGTGGGAAAGCTACTGTAGTGTTTTGCCAGTTCTTTTTAATTTCGTTATGTTTTTTTTTTAAATTCCGCGTGGCCAAAGTCGCAGGTAATAGCTAGATTCCACAATAAGTTTGTTTAGTATTCATGTTCCCATGAACCAAATCGTATGCCACTTCGATTGCTTCGTTGTGTCCTTGTATAAAGTGGCATGTCACCTAACGATAATAATAATGCTGTTATATAAATTAGAAATTTAACATACGACTTACATAAATATAGATAATGTTAATTAATTACGATTTTCAAATATTATTATCCCGAATTTGCGTCTGTTATTGCACTCAGTATAACCAGTTTGTCCTAACGTTTTTATAATCACCAGACCGTTTAGAATTAAATAAATATTCAAAAGTTATTCTTAAAGACGGTAATATGTTCGACTTGTTTTTTTTTAAATATAAATTGCAAAATACATTTAAATTTAATACTATTGCATAACTAAAGATTAAACTATAATTCTTATGAATGTACTTATGTCAAATGTAATTACAATCATTCTTGTCTATGCTTTAGAGTTAAAAGTCAGATACTAGAGACTCAAGTAAGTACTCTTATCATCCTACTCCATTGTATATTGAAGGCACTACAATGTTATACTTATCCGTGTTCAATTTCATATATAAAGTATTATATATTATGTATTGTAATGGAAACAATCTTGTTCAATCCTACTATGTCATAGAGAACCTTTCAACTCAACAATAAATTAGTATTAAACGTGACATTGTATCAATAAACGGCAGCTCGTGCCGTGAACGGGTGCCCCCTCAACGGTGGTAGGGACCCCCTTCGGTTATAACTCCGACGAGCACTTTGTTGCTTTGCGTTATTGAAACACTTTTTTCTTTCATCTCGTTTGAAGACTGTGAATGTGGACAGAATAATTTCAGGTTGGAGTTACGAATTTTGGTACACGATGCGATTATTTTAATTTTATTTCATCGAATTTTAAGTCCATAATATTTTTCTTATCAAAAAGGCAAAGTCAATTTTTACAGCTTAAAGTCCTAACAAAGGAGCCAGCGAATTAACTGAGTTATTTATCATAATAAATATTATATTTGTTGTTTAAAGATAAGACAAGTGTTTTAGTGACAAGAAATTATAAAATACTGTTAAAATAAACGCATTATCATATAAAATAATTAAACATTTTGATGTTATAATGTTTTCTCAAAATAAAGACACAAAACATTTAGTAGTCTACCCACAGTGTTGATATGAAACAAATATTACAATCAGAAAGTTTGTGAGATCGCTGTTAAAGTTGCGAAGTACTTCAATCTATCTTGAAGTTCTCTAAGTAATTACAGTTAAAAAGTTGAGACGTTAAACAAATTTATACTGCGAATTAGTGAACGACTCGGGTGGTCCGTCCAGACTACAGACGTCAAAGTTTTGAGTAAACCACCCCGCTTGGCCCCTTTCCTAGTTTCTCGAGTAACTTTCTTAAAGTTCCCCTCTTACCCTCTTTGTTTCTGCTGAGTTTGCTCCCAACTTTGTCTGTTGCCCGACAACATGTTTATCGGCGATCCAACGATGCGATGTTGTCTTTTGACTCCTTTACTACTTAATATTTTTTTCAAGATCAAGTTACAAAGTTGTAGTAACTTCGATTAGTTCTTAAAGTGAGCGATACAAAAACCTTTTTAATTATAATACAAACTCAAACTTTAATAACTTTGAATCATTGTGTTTGAAATCTTACAAAGTTTCATTGTTTTTTCTGTCATGGTATTAATTCTACTAGTATTTTTTTTTCTGTAGGCGCTACGCAAACTTTGTATGAGTTTTTATTAATGAGCTTTTTACTTTTTTGCTTATACGATTATTAAGCGATAAATTTAGTCAGTCTCTTTGCTATGTTTATGAGCAATAACTGACTTAGGGTAAAACTTTTGTGAAGAAAAAATGAAGATCATTTCATATTTTATCGAAAATAATACTTTATGGAAAGAATTAGTGCTTGATATAAATTGTATAAGTGGAATCCAGTGAAAGATATGCACGTTTAGAAAAAAACAGCATAAGCATTGATTTAATTAAAGGGTTATTAATCCCTAACCGGTCGTCTCCCACGTAGAAATGTGTCAGCTCGGTCGTACAGTAAATTGCATTTACAACATGTGTGTCGCGAGTGCACGAGTGGGGCGGCCGCTTACCGGAAACTCATTCCACTCGTTAGCTTAATAAGAATTAAAAAAAATAGCCGTCGCTCTACTTTACATGCCTTACCTTTAGACATGACGGCGCTTTTGAGCTTTTTCTTAGGGACAGTTTTCATTCTATTAAACTTGACTAGTTTATGAGAATTTATACAATTAACTTTTTTCTATGTTTTTTAGTTATATGAAAAGATATATCGGCATTCACCGATTGTAACAATGAATTTAGTAAAACATGGTTTTATTGTTTTTTTTTCTATAATACGTAAAGATTGGTCATTTTTGTTCTTTTCTAATATCTTCAGAAATCAATCAGAATCAGTTCAGTATGCTATAGACCATTCCACATATTTTGCTCAATAGATTTATTATCTTAGTTAGTCCGTACATTCTTATATTTAAGACTTACTATGTTTAAATTTCTCAAATGCAATCACAACATCCGCTCTTTTAATATTCTTGATTGTAACACTGCTAATAATATACGTTTAGGAAGATAATTAATCAACTATGGTCAGGTTTCCTCGTTTCTCAAACGGACTCTGTAAATATTTAAAGAACGTTGTACGATGAAAGCAATATAAAGCAGACGCGGCATATTTACATGTACGCGAAGCCGTGAGAAAGTTTTAATAGCGATTCACTGAATCTTGTTTGCTCTGAAGCGAAGGGATTTCCTGGCAATGTTACAGTATCTTGTTTGTTGTTTATCTTTTGAGATATAAAAGTTACCCCACTCTTATTGATTGCTTTAATCACGTTATGTTTTTGTGGAAACGAATGAAAACAGTTCTAATGATAACATCATCAAGAGACAAGTTTCTTAAAACTTAAAATAGTCTGAAATGAAATTCTGGGATATATTTTTAATCAGTAGGAACAATGGCTTATTCTTGAGGAGTTCCCTGTCCAAATAAATGTGTAAAGTATTACTTACTAGGGTACGTCGACCGGGATGTATTACTCTAGTCAGCTGTATGCTATTTCAATACAGCGAAGGTATCCGCTTTCTGACCACAGGATATCCAGCGGTGGACTAATATATCGTATCCTGTGAACGCTTTGACCCTTCCTGGTTTAGATGATCCCTTCGTATCACGTATACTCTAAGATATTAAATTGTTTAGCTCATAGCCATAGTTTCAAACAATTCATCGATTTAGAACTCTGAATTCTACTACGTATTTATATTCATTCATTAAAAGTTGATCTCTTAAACAATGGTCATTTTAAAGCTTGACATAATCTATCGTGGTGGGATTGGAATTCATTCATTCATTATACGATACTCTCCTTCCGTTTATTTGAGTTTAATATTTTGAACCTACTGAAACAGGATGATGATTATCCTGCTTATGTATGTATATTTGGTTATATTACTAAGGTTTGACCGACTTCGAATAGTAGATGTTTTTTTCCTGAAGTGTCCAAAGTAATGTGGAAGTGACGAATGCTAGTTTAAAAGGCAAACGTTTTAAATTAATAATTTGATCTAAAGGTGTTTTTTTTTTTATCGGCAGGAACTCACAGTGACTGACGACACGGTGTTGGAAGAACACAGTGAGGATCCCGCTCTGGTGCAAATGAGACTTCTCGGTGATGGAGGTAAGTTGACGAATTTATACACACGCTTTAAGAGGGAATAGATTAGTAAAATCTCAATTGTACTTCTTTGTTTGTTCTTTGTTATCTCAACTATACACAAAAGTAAATAAATACTTTAAAAAAAGTAGTTGAGCCATTGTCAAGTTAGCATCATAAAATGCAGATGCGGTCTCTGATTACGCTAACTCGGTGAATCAGCGCATTGCGTAACCGACATAGCATCGGCGACTGCTAACTGCGCCCATTACGCCCGTCTTTAGAACAATGAAGTCCGGGTTCACTGAGCACACTACGTTTGATAAACACTATTCAGACGGATTAAACCCCTTTTTCACTAATGGGACTAACTATGCTGTATTTGGACCCAGATTGTAATTTGTATCAATTGCAAGTAGTCGTGCTCGCTTGGTGGATAAGGGATTTTAGTTTACATTACGTACATTATATAACCATAATCATATTATATTTTAACTAATGTGAGTAATAAATAAATTTAATCTTGACGTTTGTCGAAGCGTTGATTATAATTAATTATAAATATTTTTACAAACGATATTTATAATTTGACATTTTATCATTTTAATTACTGACCTTTCGCTTTCCTTTTTGCGTCAGTAATAGCCGATATTTAAAAATTCGAGGTTATATTTAAGTGTCCGCAATTATATTTCATCTACAAAAATAAGTTAATTAAAAAAATCTGCTACATGGATAACGCTATCCTTAGTATAGAATTACAAAATTACTTCCTGATGTTAAAATTACTTTTTAAATTTGGTTTCAGTATAGAGTGAACAACTGGTTTTGATACTTGTATTAAAGTGACGTTAATGTTATCACAGCTGTTTGGTTTCATTTCATTGTTTCGTTACCATGTTTGTGACGTACATCTCGATCAACGTGAATCGTTGTTGATAAAATAGTTGCTTCAAACGTTTTACAAGAAAAGCATTGCGATTTTAGTATGAACAGACTTTTAATTTTTACATCTGGAATTAACCAGACACTATATCTGTAATGCGGATAACATTATACGTAATTATTATAGTTAATTGGTTAAAATAACAGTACATTTCGAAATTGAATTTAAAAATCACCAGAAAGGACAGATTTTGGCATTGCATTTCTTGAAGTTATATGGTAGGATATTCAGATAAAAAAAAGATTATGTTTCAAAATATCAATTTTACTGGAACGACCTATTTTACTTTAATTTGAGAACTATGACGTTACAATATGGCGCGGGTTCACGGACATTAATAATTAAAAAACAATGTACACTTATAAGTTTGTTTACCACACTTAATCAGTATTCGGTAAATAATAATATTCACGTGTACACTCGATAAATTGTATCATCATTTTTATTATGCAATTATGCAATGTTCGATTTTCTAACAATAGTAAGCATTGCGTAACCAAGTGCATCCGAGCCGTATTGTAACGCTAGACGGGACATAGTGAAACACCGTTGGTATTACAAAGCGTATAATTGGATGCTAGAAGCCATATCTAACACGTGCAGTTTATCCCCCATTGTACATGCTATATTATATGCAGTAAAATTACGCTATCTATCTTCGAATTAATGTAACATAAATTTATGTACACCAATAATTTTTTGCTCTGAATTCTTGAGAATTGAATCTTCTTTTCGGTAATAATATTACTTCTTAATAAAGATTTGCAAGAAATACAATCACATTTGATACTCCCTCTTAGATGGTGAAATATTTAAAAGCAATTCGATTAAATGACAAAAAATATATTAGGTAGGAAAGTATATACATCCAGATCTTTTTGATTGTCTGATGTATTAAACTAAAGAACAATAATGTATTCTATGACTTTCTATGAGATATAAGTTCCCGGCCGTTTTAATTAATAGAATCAATCCCTCTTGAAATATGATAGCGACCCTTATCGAGGTTTGATCTTTACGTGCAGGGCTTGAGTTGCTAATAATCCCTCTTCCCGAGGGTCGTTATTCTTTTTCATAATTTTATGTCGAATATAAAATTATAGATGGCGCAAATGGTCATCAAAATTCATAAATAGTTTCAGCCATAATTATTCTCTTAAGATTTTTTTTATTGTTGTTGTTAAGCGAAGCGTAGAGGTGCTTCTTTGAAATTCTCATTTACCTCGAATTGATTGAAGTCGAATTAATAGGATTGCTTTTGTTCCAGTGATCGAGTCTATAATGAGGGGGGAAGTCGTGGGCGTGATGCCGAGAAGATCTCGCTCCAACCTTCAAGTAAGTGTATCTTATTTCATTAATATTAATAAAATTATAAGGACCGAATTAATTATTCGATCTATTTTGCTTATCTAAGGTAATCCTACTAATCCTTTAGCTTTGAATGTAACCCAGTGTGGCGTTTTCCCACATGACAGGCAGATGAGATGTGAATCAGTTCGAACTAGAGTAATAAGAGTAAATAATGCATTGAAATACATTTTATTATCGCAATAGCAATCGTAATACCTGATCTTTCGTTTAGAGGAAGATCGCTCTATTTTGTAGTATTTCTTATACGAAATAAATAACATAATCTTCAGATTCCTAAGGCTCGATTATAGTGGTTAACCATAAACCATATTTTGTTAATATGTAGAAACTCGAATTTCATGCGGTTATACATATTTATTGAAATATTTTCAACAGAATGAATTTCGTGTATATTTATAAAAAAAAACAACGAAAAAACCTTGCATGTCTTCATGTGTTTATGCGACCTTTTTAAGGTTCGCAAAAACAGTTTTGACATTTATCTTGTTAAGGCACCAAGGTGACTAAGTCGTCTGAATGACGTAATTTAATTGCTTTCTTTTTTTGGTTACACAAACGCCTGACATTTTAACCTTGTTTTAAATGTTTTAATTTTATTTTGGGACAATCATGTTGAATGAATTGAAATTGATTTATTAAATTTATATTAAATAGTGTATTAATATAACATAATTGTACTTAGCTGACTGTATTACTCAGTTCCTAATGTGCTTTCAATGTTATTTTAATGAGGTGGAAACCTACTACATAAGATTTAGTGTCTAATGCACATTAACTATTCTAGGTATATGTTAAATGTAGACATTAATGATCAATTCTCGCGCAAGTCGCGACAGGTCTCCTGACGCATGCGCCAAATTTAACTTGAACTCTGCGGGGTTTGAATCCGCTATATCTGGTGCGAATGGGTTTTGTGTTTATTTTGCCTCCTCCCCAATGGCCGATGCCGATGACGAACCGCGTATAAATAGCTCAAGTGTTTACCGTATTGCTACTGAATACTATTCCAACAGCTTACGAGGCAGACTACTTAATTGCCTAATGGACTAATGAATAATGTTGTGTTGCATTTAAATAATTCAATAGTCTTGTGTTTCCCATCGAACAATCGTTTTGAAAATAAACATAACATCAAGATTATTATCAAGTACTTATTAGTTTTATTTACAACTAGCTGTCGCTCGCGATTGTGTCCGTGCGGAATTATAAATTACGTAATGAGTAACCTTCATGTCCTTTCAGGTTATGTTCTACATCTATGCCAAACATTCATCGAGACAAACATCCAATCCATCCATCCACCTAACCATTAGCCTTTATAATATTAGTTAAGATTTGTTCGCAAATCTGTAAACTATAAAATTGTAAATAAGTCGTAAAGAGATTTTGTGTCAGTTGTGAGTTAGGACAGTGGTCGCGTGCAGTGTGCATACAGTTGCATGCACCGCTGCACTCATTTGAATATTGGACTAGAAACAGTGCACAACTTCCCTTCTAACATTGTTTCCAACTCATGTTACCCTGGTATGATTTGGTCGCTTTGAATTTACCACACTGAAACTTTTGCGGAAATCTAATTAAATCCGTCCAATGCAGGGATTTTATTCAATTAATATGACGGTATGCTATGTGAAACTGGTTATTATTATTGTATTATAATACTACTAGAAAGGTTTATGTATTTACTACCATCTCTGCTTGATACCAATTAAATAAAAATAAATGTAACATAGCAACTTAATTTAACGTCTAATCATTCTTAGTAGTTGTTCAAAAATAACTGTTTAGGCGAGCGTTTTTATTAGAAATATTAATTTTATAAAAAATTCTCATAAAACGTCGCTCGGTAGCCGAGGACATTAGACTACAGAGCCGTAGATAGATTACTGTTTGCTTTAATTTTATTCTTTGTCTGAAGATACAAGGTCTTAAAGGACGACGACTGAAGGCCGCTCGAGATCCGCCTGAAGGTCGGACCTTAGTTGAATTGACCTTTAGAGAGTAATAACAGTTTACCTTTGCTGAATAAACCTTTTTATTTCTAACTTAGAATGTTTTTGACTCTTTTACGTAGCCTTTTCTGTAAATTATATTTAGTTCATAGAATCATAAAAAGTATCACTTTATAGAATAGAAATAAAATATTCTATACAAGTTCGTTCCGTTATGCTCTAGTTTATCAATATTTGAATTTTGTTTTCTTATCGAGCTGCGTTTGCTCATCCATATATAATAGCGAAAAAGACTTTTTCTCAAACCGTTACATTCATATCATATCTTAAAAACCTAATGCACTGTACAATTAATATAATAATTTTAAATGTTTATATTTTGTGATATCATCACTTTACATACATTAGTAATTTTGATTATATCTTGAACTGCCGTTTGAAATGGGTTAACGTTAAATGTTTTGGACTAAACAAAAGACGCTAAATTATCTGGAACACAGAGAATCGAGTGATGTCGAGCAGCGAGCCGTATCGTCTTCGTGATGATACACTGTTACTTGTAACAACAGAAGCCCTCAAGCATGTCTAATATATCCTTTATTTATTCAATTTAATATCAACCTCCCACTCGTGTGTTGTACTTATATTTATAGATCAAGATTAAACATAAAACCTCAAATACTTAACCATTTTATTCTATTGTCTTCTTCATTTTAAATAAGAATCATATAGTAACTAATTGAATATGTAGTAAACAGTGATATGTAGTAATTTAGATGCATTTGTTCCCCTATTTTAATTAGAGCGAAAATGTAGCAGCACACAAAGCCTACAAAATAATACTATTAACCAGAGCGCTGGATACTGAATCGTTCAAGGGGGATTCAAATTACCGCACGAGTAATTTGTCTGGTTCAGCGACCCCTTTTCGAATGCCCGAGAACACTCCACGCGCCGATACTACACACAGTTCATCTAGTACGATAGAATAGTAGGTTATGTTGGATTGTAGACAGGTCGGCTTCACCTTTCTCTCGAATAACACAAAGCATTGATGTTTGATCTAAACAACTCAGAAATAGAAAACCTTTTTAGAAGACACGTGCAAATAAGTCACAGTAAAAATTTTAGTCAGTTACATACATAATACAGATGAAAATCTGTTTTAATATCTCACTGGTGGTTATAAATTTACAAAATTACGCGTTAATCTCGCCTAACATTTACAGTAATGCTCCTTCGAAACAGTTTCAGCTGGAGCGACGCCAAGCATAATTCACTTTTCTAATAAATTGTCTCGTATATTATAACTTTCATCAAACATAACGTCGTTTACGATTAAGCTATTTAAATTATAAGGAAGTCGTTAAAATAGTTCATACAATATAGCTTTAAAGTTTTTGCAAAATTAAAGTACTGAAATTGGAAAAATAAAGAATTTTGTACAACGAATCTAGGGATGAATCTATTTTGTAGTCCCTTGTCTACTTGATTATTGTTTTGAATTGTCAATGCCCAGCAATTCTTTAAAGAATGTACATACGTACTTCTTAAAATTTACATTCTCTTTGTCTTTTCTTTTTTACTTACACAATGTCACTAGATCATTGATGCTGCAAATTTTAGCTGGATGGCATTAATTATATTAACTGAATAATGAATAAACGCCATAACATCAAAATACATTTCAATGTAGATTTTTCAATAAGATTTTTAGTGAATAAAATCTAGTGCATTTTGTCAGTAATAAAATTGAAGCTGTTGAATTTTATATTTATATTGCGCAATTTGCTTTTAATTTATGTATTCTATTATAATTATTTATTTTTATCCGACGTGATTCATCATTGAAATGTTGAAAGGTATCTGCATATTCTGCAATTAATAAAATCTAATATTATTAGTAACGTATCTTTATTGATGTAATATTTAGTTTAATTCCGTAGAAATGAAAAGTTTTCAAATGTGTGGTTAGCTGCTGCATCAGATGTTATATTTCGAAACAAAACAAACTGCTTATTACAATAACGAAGGATTTTTAAATTGAACCCCATAAACGAGTAAGTAGTGTTTAGAGAAAGATTTTTAAAACTTCAGTAAAACATCATGCGATGTTATGTAAAGTCAACTTGGACTTGGCACCTCGCCAACTTCCCTTTTAATATATTGCTTAGTTCCTGTTTGTCCTAATTATTATTAATATATTTTAATAATGGGATTACTTGAGATAAACGTGAGCGATGGACCGTGTACTAAACCTACAAAATAATAGTGAACAATATTATTTCGTATTGTTGTATTCGAAATATGTAGAAAACAAATTATTGAATCTATGAAACTGTACATCTAAATTGCCATTGTTTATCGATCGATCAAAAGACATTCGCATGGGAGAGTCTCGAGCGGTTATAATCGGCAAAGTTTCCAACAACATCGGCCGACTTTCCACCTCAATCGGGCGAGTTAGTTAATGCGACTTCCCGTGTAGATACGGATATCGATCGCGACAAGTGCTGGATGCCGGGGCTCGTCTGGCGCGCCCGCGTACCCGAGCAACCCCATCCTCTCCGCGCCCCCGCACCTGCTGCGCACCCCACCCACGCTGTGTGCCCCACCGTGCTGCCTCTTTACTTTGTTCTGGTTTGTTTTGAAGGTTAATTTTTATCAACAGCTTAGTAGTTGTAATGCTGTCCCACGTCTGTTTTACAGAACAAGAATTTGAATGATGTGTAGAATACATTAACGAATTGTTATCAAAAGTATTGAGGTGACTAATGATGCTTCATGTCGAGTCGTCAAAGTGCTCGATGGCGACGCTGACCTTGCGCGTGCGGAAGGTGCAATAGATGGTACATGGGTGCGAGTGTAAAGTTTAATTAATTATGCAGGCTTGTGTCTGGTTGTGGCGGCTGTGCCCGGGCGGCAGGCGGCGCGGGGCGTAGTACGCCGGTGGCGGGGGAGAGCCCCCTGCTCGCCCCGGGCCCAGTGTGCGCCATTCTCCCGCGCCGACAC